AAACATGTGTAAGCCTCACGATTTTAATGGATTTCCCATAGCTTTTCTTTCTAAAGGGTATTTTCATCCAGATTGAAGTGGACTACAGTTTTGACCTTGCTTAAATTGGTATGCTCAATACCCCCAGAGGGACTCAAACTCATTTTTGTGGTGGTGCAGCGTATATTCTCGACACGCTAACAAGGACGCTACAGTGCACGAGTACCCTTAGGTCACAGGACGGAAGCAAATTTCAAGGACAGGTCTTTCTGGTTTCACTTTTTGGTTGGACTGTTGATCAAGCAGAGTTATAATTGCCATTACAATTGACCCTATTACTTATTTTCTGCTTATCAATAGGTTTTATAGACATTCAAGTGAAATTATAAAACGAGTTGTACTCAGCCAGTGTCGTTTTAAGTCCCTAAAACTACTTATTTAAGAAAATAATAGTGTATTTGATTAATATAGCAAATAAAACTGCTTTATCAACAATCCCACCATAGAAAAGTGATATGAAAAAGGAATAGGCTTCCTTGAAATTCACTTTCTTTCTGTGACTCGAAGAAGTGATCATGTTGTCATCCTGTGTCCCAAATGAATTCCTGTTGAACTGTTGCCTATCTCGTGACAAACAAAAGTGTCAGGACAAAAGTCATTATCAACAAAAAACGCGCCAAAAGGGTAGCTGAAATAATTGGCAACTAAATCATTGTATGCCTCATGAGGATCACACAATTAAAGAATAGGAAGTGGTTATGATTTACGTTTGTCTAGCTTTCGAGACTACCCGTAATACTTGAATAAGAACATGATAGGCCTATGACGCTTAAGGTGATTTAAAGACCTATAGATGGGTTTTTCCCACAAGTAATTGAATAAATGCAAAACTCTTGTCTGTACCGCCGAAACAGACAGCGTCAGACAGCAGCCATCATTTAGATTTATTTAAGATCTACCGGAAGTTTCGAAGCTACTCAATTCACATTTAAGTAATATAGTTGATTATAATTGAAAATACACGCTTGCTTTATAGATATTCCCACAACATACATGTAATATATGAGAGGCTTGGCGGGCCTTTAAAGTCCATTGTAGTACAGCTTGTTTGTAACATGTTGAAGTTTTACGCCAAACTATCCGATGTTTAAGTTCTGTTAGGGTGCAGACTAGACCCGGTTGAGGTAGAAACTCCAGTCCAGTCGTGCCGGAAAAAAGATACTCTTTGAAATGCAAGGCTGAGTGAAATGTAATGGCATTGTGAGGCTCACTCATACCATTGTGGGAAAATTCAATTATAAGTCATTTATCACCCAGACTGAATCGAGCAAGCATGCGTATGCAATATTAATAGACTATATTACTTAATTTCCATATGAGTAGCATTCGATATTATCAGCAATTACTAAATACGAATTTGGTCCGTCTAGGTTGCTTAAGGTGATTTATGGACTGATAGTTGGGTTTTTCCTACAATTGAGTGAATTCATGCCAAAATGCTGTTTGTACCGCCGAAACAGACACGATCAAAATCGAAAGCAGCATTTACAAAAAAGCGCTAAAACAGTAAACTAAGGGCGGCAGGTTGACAGATTTAATAAGCAAATCACTAGATGCCTCAATAGAATAGTAACATTATGCATCTTGTATGGTTTAGTGAATTTGCGTCATTTTGGAACTAATGACTTCTGCTTCTAACGATGTCAGCCACATGACAATTTCACCAAGATCAAGAGTCAAACAGTCTTCACTCCAAGACAATTAATTAACCTTTGGTTTCGGGTAGGGCCATTTCACATATTTTCTTAAACTGTATTTTTTGTCATGATGAAAATTTGCGTAGTGATTAGTGAATTTTGTAGAAGATTGCATTTACACTGCCTGATAGACAAGAGCTCAGCTCAGAATGTCACGCTTGAATCAACATTCCCGATTGCAATCAGTTAGCTTTCAGTAAATCCAATTTTCACATTTCTTTCACTTAATCGTGGATATACAAACAAAAGTGTTGTGACCTCTGCTTTGATCTCAATCTTTTTTCACTACATCAAAGTGGTTTGACCTTGTTTCTTACATTCCCAGACGTGGAAATGTACCAGGTTTATAGTCCGAAGCTGGAAATTATCATAAATATTCCGACACAAGACTCTGGTCAGGGTTAGTTTATCTGAATCGCCCTGATAACTGGACCAAATTGCCAAAAGAATATCAAAAGCTTGCACTTAACTTTTCAGGTACAATGATCTAAATTAGGCATCGTTATCATATATCCCACTTCTTCCGGCTATTTTCGTCCCATTCTGTCTTCTGATGTGTGTCTGTCTCTCCTCATGTTCATCGATCGGTTGTCTGTCTGCCTGTTGCCAAAAATCAGCCGGTTCAGGCATCCTAACGGACGCAGGTGTGCCCGGACTGATGGGACCGGGCGGCATGGTTCCCGGTCTTCTGCTTCGTGGCGGCAGCAGTATCAGCCTGGCAACTGGACAACCTGGACAAATGGCCTACTGGACGCCGGCCGGTTGGCAAACAGTGGCTTCCGGAGCCGGGTTGATGGCAACCGGTATCAGTAGCTACAGCCTTTTGGGCGTTAGTGGAGCAGGTGGAGCCGGCAACCTCCGCTGCGGTCGCTCCGTGTCTCCAGACGCCACCGTCCGAAAGGTCAGTCGATATTGTAGAAACGGATCGCATGTATCATCAGTTTGCCGCTTCTTCCTCGTATCATACATGTGTGTGTGTGTGTGTGTGTGTGTGTGTGTGTGTGTGTGTGTGTCAGCGACGTCAAACCGAATGGTGTGTGTGTGTGTGAGAGAGTGAGAGAGAGGGTTGTGTAGGTAAGCCACCGGGCGATGGATAGATAAAGGCAATGAATGTGGCAAACACAATTATTCGTCATAATTGCAAAAATAATGAAGACTATCTTTAAGCCCAACTTATATTGGAGAAAATGATGATGAGTCAAGATGCATTGTTGCTGACCCAGCGCTTCAGGGTCAAATAGCCGAGCTAACACCGAGGAAGTGATAGAGAAGCTTGATTTGCCGGCTAATGGCTATCCATTCAACAAGTAAAAGTATTGATTGGGAAAGCAAGTATTCTTTTTTGTTTTAGGTAGGATTGACGGGATAGAAAATGTTGTTCTTTTTGCCAAAATGAACCGTAATATGGCCTAACTATTACTTATAAAGAAAAAGTAACTTAGAGTTGCATATGGTGATGCAAAACTAAATGTTGAATTCTCCCATAGTTCCACGACATGATTAGGCTTCACGTTGCCATTGCATTTCACTTAGTCTTCTTTCTCTTAAGGTATCCCCATCCAGGCCTCGAACTCCAGTAATACAGGGTCTACTCTCGACACGTTATCTCCACGTTAAATTGCCATGAAAGCTTGTGGGTCTCAGAGCAGACGTGTATTTCAAGAAAGACCAGACATCAATAATATCACATTTATAATGGGGTTGTAGATGAGGTCAACTTGTGCTTCAATATTACCATCTACTACATTATTTGTATTCATTTAAAGTTTTGTCGTGGTACTAATGGCAGCCAGGGGAGGTCGAAACTATAAGCCACTTTAGGTGAGATGACAACAAACGTCCAAAAGTCTCCTTTTTGACGTCGGCTCTGAGTCCCCAAATTTGTT